TTATAGAGGCAGCAGGGTGGGGGCACCACAGCGGGGAATCAAGCAGTCCCCCGTTTGCACCAGTTCCCACTACGGCCGCTTCAGTCTTTGAAAATGTACAGCAAATTGTATTGACAATACGATTAGCCTGATAACCGCATTTTAACATCCTTACTCATAACACAGGTGGAGGGGTCACCAAATGAAATCAATGGGCAGCAGGTTTAAAACAAAAGGAAGTATTTTTTCACACAACATATAGCCTGTGAAATTCCTTGCTGGAGGATGTTGTGAAGTTCAAGACTGTAATAAGATTTAATAAATAATTAGATAAGTGAATGGAGGATAGGTCCATCAGTACCTATTAGAGACAAGGGTGGTGATGATTACCAGTTCATTCCCTCTGGAGCACCTGGCATTGGCCACTGTTGAAAGACCGGATACTGAGCTAGATGGACCTTTGGTCTGACCCACCCATCAGATGTGGGTATAACATTCCTGTCTCCTACACATCAAATCAGTTGGGCAGGCCAATGTAGAGTAGGGCTGAAACAGGGCCCTCCCTTCCTTTCTACCCATCTCTATCCTTTTGGAGATGGCTTGTACCAAGAGGACACTAATAAGGAGTAATATGTGAATTTGTGCTTGAACTCTATGCAGAGAAGAGGGAGGCTCCTTTGTGCCTACCCCTTGTGTAAAGCATAATCTATCCTATGAGTTTTGCAAACCTGTTTCCTCCCATTTCTCAAAAAAAAAAAAAAAAATCCAAAGCAGCTGAATGATGGGCTTGAACTACTGGTCAGCATCCTTTTCATTAGAAGATTTACCCAGCATTTCTTGGGTCCTTAACTCAATTAATATTTGTTTTTCTTCATTTAAGTCATTGCTCTGGGGTGGGGCTGGGGATGAAGGGTTCAGAAGGCAGGCTGCTCTGGAGAGAGAGGACAACCCCAGCTCTCTGTCATTGGAGCAGCTTGTGACCAGATGAAAAACACCTCTCCATGGCTGCCGTAGAGCCAGCACACATAGCGGAGAGAAGGGTGCATGTTTCCCAGCTGGGGCAGCTACAAGTTCATCTGCCCACTGTGTTCTCCAGCCAGAGTAAGGAACACATCAAACTGCACTTTTCCCTCCCTCCCTGACAAAGGGGAACAGCCAGCAATGTTCCTGTAGGAATGGGGGGTGGGGCATCAACCTCCTTCCCCATTCTCCTTAAATTGCAGCTGGGGGGTGGGCGGCTCAGGTCTGGGGCAGTCCGAGATGAGCAGAGGGGTGTATCCTTAGCCAGTCCCTTTCACCAGCCTGGTGATTGTCTCTTTTCTGAATGGTTTTATGAGAAGCAATCCCATTCCAGGCACATCCCATTTTCCTGATACAACCAAACCCTGACCTTGCTTTAAGTTATGATAAGAGGAAGCTGCCTACCAAATTTGGTGACCCTAGCTCTTACCACTTAGGAGGAATTATTGAACAGACAGACAACACACAGACAGATGCACAGACAGAAATTCAAATATTTAGTAGATTATGTGAGTATGGCAATCTGGATTTGTCTCTCTCTCAGCTGGGTGCCTATATTTTGTCATACAAAATAAAAGTAATGTAGTTGATCCCCTGCCAAGATGCAGGATTTGTCATGTCTAACCAACCAAGACAGATGGCTGTCCAGCCTCTTTTGGAAACCTCTGTTATCCTACTTTTCTTACAGATAGGAAGATTTAATCTCAATCTGCCATGCTGCAGTTTTCACCCATTGTTTCTTCTCTTACTTTCTGTGGCAAGAGAGAACATTTTTTTCCATCTTTCATATGGCAGTCTTTCAAGTTTATGCTGAAATCCTTGTTAATTACCAGCTATCTTCCCAACCTAGCAAGTTTTGTTCATGTACAATCACCTGAGTATATCTAAGGACACTCCCTTTTGACATCTCTGTGGAGAAGAAACAAGCTAATAATCTAAAATATCTGATAAGAGGCCTTATTATTGACTTTCATTAGTGTTCGTTATAAAAAGTCAATATTATTACTTCAAATGTCATTTGAATTGTAAATAAATTTTGAATTTGACTTCTGTTTATCAGATTTCCTCGGCTATGGATGCCAAGTCTACAAAGGTAAGCAATTAACATAAATAGGGATGTGAATGGTTAACTAGTGGTGGCTGGAGCCTGCCATATATAGGAGCTGCTCTGGATGCCCAGAGCAGCCCCTGCTTGCAGCGGTGGGCCACTCCAGCCCAAACACGGGGGAAGGAGGCAGCTGGGCTAGAACAGCCTCCCTTAATTGATTAACTGGTTAAATGTGAAGTAAATGTCACATTTAATTGGTTAACCAATTACATGGGATTTTACATCCCTTAATGTAACTGCTAGTATATGAATGTTCTGCATCTGCATTCTTACATATTGGTCTCCCTGCCTTTAGCTAAATACAATTCAGTGATTTCTAGGCAGTAAATATGAACCTAGAAATTTCTACTCCTTGTTCTACTTCTCAGGCTTTTCACACCTTCTCTGTGTTATCTAAAAAGGTATCACAATCTACACAGGGTCACATCTGGTCAGTTCATGACAGAGTCTGTAGTCATGGGAGGTCATATAATCAGTTGTGTAAATCAGTGTTGCTCCATTGATTTCTGTAAAACAACTCTGTAGCTATAAACTTTACAGCATCTCAGAAAGTGACCTGGAATTTCATTAGTATCAGAATCATAGGGCTCAGACAACCTCTCTGCATGGATAAACAATGCTCTTTCATGGTGGACTGACCTATGCCAGTCTTACTTATGTAGTTTCTAATTATTTTTGGCCAGCTGTATAACCCCTTGTAGTCCAATCCACTTTAAAGCTTAGATGTGCCCCCAGACTGTGCTTTAATAAAAAGAAAAACAGCCTGATTCTTCTAGTGACTCAAGTGATCTCCACAGAGCTCTCACTCAGTAAAAGTCAGCTTCTCTTTGTGCTAACAAGCACAGGGACAGAAGATGTAAAGCTCTCACTGCCTTTGGGGGGCTGCCATTCGCAGAGCACCGTGCACTGCCTGTAGATTTTCTAGACTGCAATGTTTATAATGTTTTTCGACACTGCAATGTTATACATAATAAATGGAATAACAAATAGTTCTATACATTCAAGAAAAAAGTCATAGTGGGACTGTATGAATGTTTTAATTAAATACAGAAATGGAACTTGCAAAGAAGGATATGGTGAAAGGTGTGTCGGTAGCATCAAACCTGACCAACTGCTCAGATGGAAAGCTTCAGATGGAGAAAGTCATTGCTACTAACATCCTTCTCCCTGCCTGAGCTTCTGCTTCAGCTTCTGCTACCTGCTATTGGTGCTGGGTTCCTCTAGTCCCAGGGTGGTGGGGCATCGCCAGCCACTACTCTGCCAGTGTATAAAGTTTTGGGGGGAATGCCCACCTAGTACCCTCCAAACTCCACCCGTAGAGGACCACCAGGACTGTATCACAGTTCATCTTTGGGCCATTGCCCACAGTTCGGGAGCCCTTTCAATAAAATATATTGCCTCACCCACCTTCTCTCTCTCAATAACTGATTAGAAGCAGTGAGGTACTTAAAGACTGAAATCAATAAATGAGAGTCATTTATAGAGAACAAGGAGGAAACAGAATTATTTCATTCTGATACCTGGCTATTTGAGGTTCCAAGGAGCCATTCCAACAGCTGGCGGTCTCCTCCTGATTTTACTTCCACCAAGTCCTGGGGCTGGAAAATTGCCCAACAAAGAATGACTTTGCAGAGTACAAATTCATTTTTGTATAACAATGTCTCATTGTGTGCATCTGGCTGAACTGTACTGGAGCATAGTAAAATAAAATTGCAGACAGCAATTGTAGACTAGAAGATCTATTGCTAAAATGGGCTAGCCAACAAGAAGACTGATTAACACAGTGGATGCATAACTTGTTTGTTAGGGCAACTTCCATCCCTTTTAAAGGCAATTCACATTCCTCCTCTTATACGTACCTCTGCCTCCCAAAACACACAATGGTTTCTGAAAGTCAGAATATCAGATACATGTAATCTTATTCTTCAGTTTCAAAGTTAATTTAATCATTCAGAATGTCTGTCAATCCATTTATCTATCTTTTATACCACATTCACCACCATAGTTTTTGTATTTGGTATATCATATCTGATATAGAATATATCCTTATAAATTCTGCCAGCGTTTGAGCCCAGACAACTTCCACTGGTTTTAATGGGAGATTTCCATGTCCAATTAAAGGCAAAATTTATCCCTCTGTTATTGCTATATATGTGTTATTTTGTATAGTGTGTGTGTGTGCGTGTGTGTATGTGTGTGTGAGAGAGGAAAAGAAGTCAGCAACAATGATAATAATACTAATAATTTACCTACAGTACTGTAGTGTAAACAGTGTTTTAAAGACATTTAAGAAGCCAGAGGTCTTCCCTGAGGAGTACAGGCAGTCCCCGGGTTACATACAAGATAGGGACTGTAGGTTTGTTCTTAAGTTGAATCTGTATGTAAGTCGGAACTGGCGTCAGCCGCTGCTGAAACTAGTCAGTTTCAACCGCGGCTGAATCTGGATGCCAGTTCTGACTTACATACAGATTCAACTTAAGAAACCCAGGCGTCCCCAAGTCAGCTGCTGCTGAAACTGATCAGCGGCTGATTCCAGGAAGCCTAGGGCAGAGCAACTCTGCCTCGGGCTTCCTGTAGTCAGCTGCTGGTCAGTTTCAGCAGACCAGGGAGACCGGGAGAAGCTTTTCTCGCCCCGGAGGACACGCCGCCCGTGAGCTCCAGGGCGAGAAAAGCCCCGTTCGTAAGTGCGGATCCGACGTAAGTCGGATCCGCGTAAGTCGGGGACTGCTTGTATACACTCTAAACTCTTGAGCAAGATATGGAGCAGGATAAAATTAAGGTGTAGGCACTATATGTGTATGCATATGGCCCTTTTTTTTTGACCAATATTTCATCAGAATCTCAGCTTTAACTTTTCATGCCTATGCTGAGGAGGTGATATCAGGAACTCCAATTCATAGGCTGTATGGGCTGACAAAACCCTCTTTTGGGATAACCAACCTGAAGACAGGGAACAGTGATTGCAGGAAGAACAGGCAGCTCATATGGGTAGCCCCTCTCATTGCCACCCAAAGAAGGCCATAGCTACATCATATATTCCCAGAGAGTAATAATCAGTGGTTCAGTGAAAGGGCATATCAAGTGGGGACCCTGGGTCCAGTTCTGTTCAGTATCTTCATCTGTGATTTAGATAATGGATTAGAGAGTAAACTTACAAAGTTTGCAGACAATACCAAGTTGAAAAGGGTTGCAAGTAGTAATGGTCTAAAGTACATTGGATGGAATTCAAAAGGACAAATCTAAATATTCCACTTTGAAAGGAACACTTAAGTTGCACACACGCAGAATGGGAAATGCTAAGAAGGAGTATTGCAGAAACAGATCTAGGGGTGATAGTGAACCACAAGCTAAACATGAGTCAACAGTAGAACACTGTTGCAAAAAAAAGGGGGGGAGGGAAGGGGGTCAAACATGACTAGGATGTATTAGCAGGTGTTTTGTAAGCACACAAGAAATAATCCTTTCACTCTAGTCCACTCTGATTAGGCCTCAACTGGAGTGGACCCACATTTCAGGAAAGATGTGGACAAATTGGAGAAAATGCAGAGAAGAGCAACAAAAATGATAAAAGGTCTAGAAACATGATTTATGAAGGAAGAATGAGAAATGACATGATAACAATTGCCAAGTATGTGAAAGGTTGTTACAAAAAGAAGGGATATAAGTTGTTCTGGTTAACCTCTGAGGATAGGACAATAAACAAATTATCTTAAATTGCAACAAGGGCAGTTTAGACTGGAAATTAGGAAAAACTTCCTACCTGTCAGTATGGTTAAGCATTGGACTAAATTGCCTAGAGAGATTGTGAAATCTCCATCATTGGAGATGTTTAAGAGCAGATTAGACAAACACCTGGACTCCTGTCTATCGGAATACTGATTACTCCTCAAACAACTGGGCTTTTTTTTTTTCCAGCTCAACCTCATGCAGTCTGTTCTAATATGTGTCAGAGGTGCCCTTTTGACACAAAGTTGTGTGCATGTGGACTGAGGACAGTTTATATTTTTATGAAAGGCACTGGAACCAACTGCCCCCACTCAATACCCCATTTATTCTGAGCACTCATTAACAGAACAAATTATACACTGGCATAAGTGGGTGCAACTTCACTTCCTTGACTTCAATGGAAATTTCACCCACACTTTCCAGGGCTGAATTTGGTCTAGTCTGCTGGATGTAATATGAGTGTAAATTAAAACTAGGCTAAATCATGATATTGCTGGTTATATGGAAAATAACTCTCAAAACGTACAGTATTGTTTTCATTGAAACACATATACCTCCACAAAATCAAATCTAATGAAAATTAGGATGATTTCCTGATTCTAGTGGAATCAACCCCTTCTCTGGACATTATAAATTATCCCTGAGATGTGTAAAACACTTGTGAGGTACAATTTTTCTGCCTTTTGGAATAAACCAGATTACATCAAATAGAAAGTATTTAAAAAACAAAAACAAACAAAACCAACAGAAACAAGGAAGTAGTTCCATAGACCAAAGAGTTTACAATCTGACACATAAAGAGCCTGGGCCAAATTTCAGACCTGGCTGTCTAATGGTAGATTCACAAATCCATAGCTAGGGCTCTAAATACAAGTATCCTGATTTTCAGAAGTGCTCAGTCCCCACAACTCCTACTGGGAGCTGCTGAGCACTTTGACAATTAGGCCAAGACGCCTGACTCTTTTCACACCAACACCTGTTAAATGGTAACTACATTGGGACTTGTCACCATGAGCCAAACCACCATCTAGAAAACTTCAATGCTTGTTACATATCTCCAGTCTCCTACCTCACTCTTCCTCTATGTTGTTATTTAGTGATTCTGTTGCATAAAATGAGCCACATTCTGTCCTCATTTTCATTGAAACCATCTCTGTAAAATTAATGAGGTTGCAGTAGCGTGAGGCCAGAATTTGGCCCCTAGCAGTGAGCTGGAATTGTATCAATCTATATTTATATTACTTATGTTTAGCAAGCTCTTGTTTCACTGTGTCTTGCAGAGAGGAATGGAGATGCACTGTGGCGACTTATTAGCTCTTGGGAAGAACCTAGAAGACACAATTGGACGATAGCTCCTCCAGTCAAAAGGTTTGTTCCTGTGGAGTTCTTCAGGGCTCCATTTTGTCCTCTCTCTTGTTCAGTCTCTACGTGTAGCTGTTAAGAAGGTTGATGAGGAAGCTCACATACTGACTAGGACAGGAACATAATCTGGGTAGGAAGAGAAAGAAACTCATAGCTGAGTGCCATCAGCTATGAGTTTCTTTCTCTTCCTACCCAGATTATGTTCCTGTCCTAGTCAGTATGTGAGCTTCGGACATAGATGAGGCCAAGAGAGGTGGGATCTGTAGGCTGCAGAAAGCAATCAAAAAATGCGGCAAAAATTCAATCTGTCCCTCTTCCTATGAGAGTGTCTCTGCCATGTGCCACTTATGTTGACAACATAGGAGTCTGGTTAGGTTCCTGATCATTGTAAGATGGCATCCAAGGCAGGTTTTTTTTCATTTGTGTCATTCTGGGGGGTTGTGACCATTTTCTTCAAGTCTGGACCCCACCATTGTGAGGTATGCTTTTGTCCCCTCCAGACTGAACTATTGTAATGTGCTCTATTTGATGTAGCACCTTACAGCCATTCAGAAAGTAAGTTAGAGACTCTGTACTTTCTTCAGGTTCTTCCATGACCCTTGTCACCACAGTATCTTAGCACAAACCCACTTGTTCAGTACAGCATCACACTGGAAACAAATTAAATCAGTGCTTTGTGAAATCGCTGCCTGTGGGTTTCTGCAGTGATCTATCAAGCATGGCCAAGAACCTCCCTACTTAAGAGAATGCATCTGTATCCAGGTCATACTGCTGCAGCTGAGTTGCACAGAGCTGGACTGTCCCACCCTGCAAGTGAGAGGGGTGGACTATCGGCAGAGTTTTTCCAGCCATGGTAGAGCAGTATCTGAAATAGTACAAATCTGGTCTTCAGGACACCCTTACCTCAAAATAAGCCACGCAATTTGTACTATGCAAATTGCATCACTTATTTCAAGGTAATTTCAAAACAAAGCCCTATTCCGACAAGTCCCTTAATCCTTGTGGAATGAGGGTTACAGGGATGCCAGAATAGTGTGCCCATTATTTCAAACTATATTTTGAAATAACAGGAGTGTTTAAAGATGCGGAATTGCTATTTTGGGATACTTCCGGTATCCTAAAATAGCTCCACTGTCGAGATGTAGCCTAAGAGAGCAGTTGAGCAGGAAAAGGCTGGTTTGAGGATGACAACAGGGTATTATTTTCATCTGCACTGTTCACTTTGTTAGTTTATTTCTTGTTTTTATACTTTGTGGGGGAGCCGCTTTTATTTATGGTGATTGAAGCTGAGGATTTTCCAAGCAGTCGAGGTAATTTGGATACATTTGCTATTAAAATCACTAGACACAAGATGGGTGAGGTAACATGTTTTAGAGACAAGCTCTCTCACCAAGAGAAATTGGTCCAGGAAAAGATACTGCCTCACTCACCTTGGGTCTCTAATATCCTGGAAATCACACAGCTATAACAATACTGCATATTACAATCACTAGCAAGTACGTGTTTCAGTGCCCTTGACTACTTTGACAATCTCCACTCGTACTTTTAACAAATCATCAAGGAGGTTGGTCTATGGCAGGGACAGGGATTTTTTTTTTTTTTTGGTCAGGGCCAGAAAAATCAGTTGGGAGGCATACACAATCAAAAAACCACATACCTCAATACTTACCTGCTTCTAAGTGAGAAGCAAAACAAAACCAAAAACCCTTGTCACTCACTTGCTTCCAAGGCGGGAAGCAAAAAACTCCATGCCTCTTTGGCACTTAATTCAGCTCTCCCTTGCAGTTGAAGGGGGGCTTCTAGCCAGTGGTACAGAAACTTACCATAGGCTGGATCAAATCCTTTCCCTATGGCATCAGAGAGGCTCTTTGTGGTTTTACATATCTAAACTCGGGCTGTCAAGTGATTAGAAAAATGAATAGTGATTAATCCTGTGATTAATCACACTGCAAAACGATAATAAAATACTGTTTGTTTAAATATTTGTAGATATTTTTACATTTTCAAATATATTGATTTTAGAATACAAAATGTACAGTGCTAATTTTATATTTTTATTACAAACATTTGCACTGTAAAAAACAAAAGGAATTTGTAAGTATTTTTCAATTCACCTCATACAAGTACCGGAGTGCAATCTCTTTGTCATGAAAGATAAACTTACAACTGTAGAATTATGTACAAAAAATAACTGCATTCAAAAATAAAACAATGTAAAACCTTAGAGCCTACAAGTCCACTCAACAGGAGCATAACCGTGGGTGGGCCTGAGTGGTCTGCAGCCAATCTACTTTGCATCCAGGTACACACAGCAGCCCTCCATGGCTCTACTCATGCCTAGTGCTTGTCCTGCTCTGCCAGTTCACCTGGCAAGCCAGAGGGGGAGCAGAGTCAGGGTGCTGCTAGGGCTTCCCCCAATCCATCCAACACTGCAGCCAGGTAGTGGGATCCGGGCACCAGGCTTTAATCCCTGCCCGCCCTCACTGCCTCTTTCCCAAAGTTGTGGCCCACCCAAGTGGGCCCTTATGGCTATGCCACTGCCACTCAGTCCTACTTCTTCTTCAGCCAATTGCTCAGGCAAGTTTCTTTACATTTGCAGGAAATAATGCTGCCCGCTTCTTGTTTACAATGGCATCAGAAAGTGAGAACAGGCATTCACATGACACTTTTTGTTGCTGGCATTGCAAAATATTTACATACTAGATATGTTAAACATTTGTATGTCTCTTCATGCTTTGGCCACTAGTCCAGAGGATATGCTTCCATGCTGATAACACTTCTTAAAATTGAACTCCTTGGGGGAGAATTGTACATTTTTTACCCACTTTCTGCCATATACTTCATGTTATAGTTGTCTTGGATGATGACCCAGCATATATTGTTCATTTTTAAGAACACTTTCATTGCAGATTTGACAGAACACAAAGAGGCTACCAATGTGAAATTTCTTAAAATAGCTACAGCACTCAACCCAAGGTTTAAGAATTTGAAGTGATTTCCAAAATCTGAGAGGGATGCAGTATGGAGCATGCTTTCCGAAATCTTAAAATAACAACACTTGGACATAGAAACTATAGAACCCGAATCACCAAAAAAAAAAAAAATCAATTGTCTGCTGGTGGCAGAACCTGAATCACACAAAAAAAAAATCAATTGTCTGCTGGTGGCTTTATGACTCATGAAAAAGAACATGTTTTGGCTCGCTATCGAGCAGAACCAGTCTTTGAAATGGAGACACATCCTCACAAATGGTGGTTGAAGCATGAAAGGACATATGCATCTTTAGCACATCTGGCATGTACATATCTTGTAATGCACGTGGGGAACGCGGACCCCAAAGGGCCGCTTGCTCCCTTGGCAGGGCCCAGCGGGAGCACCACTCAGCTGGGAGCGCTGCAGCGCGCCACGCAGGGAGGGGAAGGGGGCAGGGCTGGCCGGAAGGGGGATGGAAAGCAGAGCTGGGGGGCTGGTTGGGGGATGTGGGGCTGGAGGGAGAGGATGGGGGGGCAGAGGAAGTGGGGAGGGAAGCAGCGCTGGCGGGGGGTCTCTGGGGGCTGTAGGGCTGGATGGGAGGAGGGGGCAGGAAGCAGACCTGGGAAAGGGGGTGCAGCACAGACCCCAGATGGCTGCTTGCCACGCAGGGGCGTCACTGAGCTCGGCCCGAGGCAGCAAATGGATGCCGCTCAGCTGAGCGGCGCAGTGTGCCATGGAGGGAGGAGAAGGG